CTGAAACTTCACAAGAAACTGAAGATATTTTAGAACTCCATAAAAGAATACAAAAAGAGGAGAAAAAATTTAGAGCAGTTATTTGTGCTGATATATTTAAACAATCTACTTCAAAAGTATAAAATTGATTTCTGTTTCATACTATTTGCACAAATTATTATAATATTCAATAAATTCTGAATTAATTTGAATATTAGTAAATAGTGCTTTTTCAAGTTCTTTTATATGGATAGTCATACTTTCACAATTTACGTATTTTTTTTTATTGCAAAGCAATGGCTCTTCGAGTCTACCGCTAACGTCTGTAATTTTTCTGTATTAAATATATTGCGTGATTCTTTGCAAGTAAAAAGAGGAATTGTAATAGTCTTTCCATTGTGTGTTGCTGTAAATTCCCCTTTTACTATAGGATCCCACCCAACATGATGTTGTCACTTAGTACCAAGTATCATTATAAATATATCATTTCCATATTTATCTTTTTTCGTGGGAATTATAGATACTTCATTTTCAGGAACATTTATAGAATCTTCTCTAGTACTTATAGTTATAGGAACATTATATGAAGTACCAATAGATTGAGAATCTCCAACTGCGCCAGTAAGTTTGTAAACATTTTTTTTATCTATTTTTATCCCTAAATACTCAGGAATGTTATCAGTATATAATGAATCATTTGCACCAGTATCTAGAATTGTGTGAGGTATTATCAAGTTACCTATTCTACATGAAATCGTTGCCACATCATTAGGTTCTTTTATATCGAGAAAATCAATCTCAAAAGGGTTAGACCAATTTTGTCTTATTTGTACTCCTTGGTATACTTTAATGGCGTAATTTAATGTAATGGAATTGTCAAGTTTTTCTGGTTGAGATATAATTTCAATAAGTGGTTGAAAAATAGTTAGATATTTTTTCGCAATATTCTTCCATACCTTATTTCTTTCTTTAACTGTATACTTTTCACTATAATATGAGTTAAACTGATCCTTCATCTTTATAAATAAATTATTAAGAAATACACGAAGTTCAATGAGAATCTCCTTAGGACAATTAGGTATTAATTCAGATATCATATATTTAAGAGATTCAAGAAGTACTTTTCCCTCCAAAGTATTGATTGATTTTTTCTTAGAAGAAGGCTTCTTCTTTACAGGAATCTGACTTTTTTTTTACATTGAAACAATTTTGTGGTTTATTATCAGAGATGCTTTCTTCTCCCTCCTCTTTATCTTCACCTTCGTCATCTTCCAATATCACCACCTCCTCATCATCTGAATTTTCTGGTTCACTCTGATAAGTATAATTAACCTTCTTGAGTTTCGTATCTTCAGAACACATTTTTTTTTTATGTCCAATTTTTTCGCAATTTGAACATTTGTATGTAACTTTAGTAACTTTAGTAGGTTTCTTTGCAAGCTTCTTTGTTGGCTTCTTTGTAGCATTTACTTTTTTAGCACCCGAAGTACTAGCTCTGATAATCACTCTGGTATTAACCTTTCTAACTTGATCAAAAGGCTCTCTTCTAAGATGACAATTTTCATGACCTAATCTGTTATATAATTTATACATATTCCCAAAATTGATTTTGAATTTTTGAGATATTTCGACTTTTTGAGATTTATGCAAAATCTATTCTATATATGAAAGTAAAAAAAGTACTCAGTTATATGTATCTTTAATCAAAAAATAAATCTGAATGGTCAAAAAATTTTGGATTTTAAGTAAAATAATTTCGTCTTCTATGAAAAACTATTTAGACTTTTTTTCCCGAAATTACAATTTCGGAACCCCAAAATAATTTTGTGTGCAAGTATAATCACGATTATATAATTTACCTCTTGTAATATAGTGATATGATCCAGATAATCCATCCGATTTGTCAATCTGAACAACTATCAAAATTTTTATCTGTTATTCGTTATATAATTCACGGATTATGCAGATCATCTGTTCAATCTGTAGATTATTCATCTAATCCGTGAATAATCTGTTCAATCTGTGAATTATTTTTTATTCACTTCTCCCATTTCTATTCTATCTCTTCTATTTATATTATCATTTCTATACATTGGTCAAAAATTAATAAATAATATACATATCGGGTACCTAATATGTACATGGTACATTCCTAATATTGAGTATATATCGAGTACCCAATAAGTGTAGAAAATATTTTATATATATATCAGGTACCTGATAAGTGTAAAAAAAATATTTTCTATACCTATCGGGTACCCGATATACACCTGATATTAGGGACGTATCATGCACATATTGGGTACTCGATGTGTATATTATTTATCAATTTTCGACTAGTGATATTATCCATTTTTTCCATTTCTATATTATCACTTCTCTATTATTACCTACTTTTTTCACTTCTATATTACCCACTTCTTCTATTTCTATATTATCCACTTTTTCCATTTCTATATTTTCATTTCTATATATTACACTTTTCCTGTTTCTATATTACACACTTTTTCACTTCTATTATTCACTTTTCCCATTTCTATATTACCCACTTCTCTATTATTACCCACTTCTATATTATCTACTTCTTCTATTTTTAAATTATCACTTCTAGATATTACATTTTTTCACTTCTATTATCCATTTTTTCCGTTTCTATATTACCTACTTTTCTATTATTATTCACTTCTATATTATCCACTTCTTTTATTTCTATATTACCACTTCTAAATATTACACTTTTTCACTTTTATTATTCACTTTTCCCATTTCTATATTATCCACTTCTCTATTATTACTCACTTCTATATTACCCACCTCTCCTATTTCTATATTATCCACTTATATGTATTATACTTTTTCCATTTCTATACTATATACTTTTTCATTTCTATTATTTACTTTTTCTATTTCTATATTACTCACTTCTCTATTATTACCCACTTCTATATTATCCATTTTTCCTACTTCTATTATCAACTTTTCCTGTTTCTATATTACTTACTTCTTTATTATTATTCACTTCTATATTACCTACTTTCTATTATTACCTACTTCAATATTACTACTTTTTCCATTTCTATATTATCCATTTATCCCAATTCTATATTACCTATACTCCCTTACCAAAAGTATCTGATCACCTAAAAATTCGTATTTTTTAAGTAAATTTTTATTTGCTAATAACTCATGATCTAATTTATTAAATTGAATCAAAATTTTTTTTATTTATTCCTCTGATTCTGGCCTTTCATATAATATCTTTTATGTTGAAATTAGATGAATATTTGTTGAAAAAAATTTAACTTAAAGAAAACTTTTCAAAATTTGAATTTTAA